CCCCGCCCCCACCACGTCCCATGGGTCGGGGCCCACCCGCTCCCCCGGCCTCGGTTTCCCCAGCCGCTAAAATGAAGGGCTGCACGAGGTGCCTTTCCGGGTCTGAGGCACGCGGCGGAGGGCGTGGACGGAGCTCGGCCTCGGTCCGTCCCAGGGCCCGGGCTTCTGCCCGCGGGGCCTCAAGCCCGTCACGCCCGGCCAGGGTCCCTTCCCCTTCTCCCCTCCCCCAAGCCCTCAGGGGGCCGTGCCCGCCCATGAGCACGTCATAAGTGCCTGCTGTGTACCAGGCTCTGCGCTAGGCCCCAAACCCAGCCCCCTCCTTTTACAGATGAGGAAACTGAGGCTGGGAGTGGGGCCTCGGAGACCACAGAGCGCAAGCCCCGGATTGGCAAACTGCGTGTGGGGGTGGGGGGGGCACCGCGCAATGCTCCCCTCCCCCCGCGTCTCCCTCCGAGCCGGGCCCGGGGCCGGGGTCCGGGCAGAGGCCCCGAGCAGGGCGGACAGCAGGGGGGAGGCGGGTCGGGGCCCAGGCCCGCGGGGGCGGCCGCCCCTACCATGATGAGACGCCGACACCGACACCGACACAGACGACGCCGCCCTCAACGACCAACGACTGACTGAGGGCGCGCGCACCGCCCGCGGCGCGCCGCCCTCTGATTGGCCGAGCCACCCGAGCGCCGCCGCCCATTGGCTGAAACGGCCGCGGTGCGCGCGCAGGGTGGGCGCCACGAGGCGCGAGGCGCGAAGCTACTGCGCCTGCGCCCGCGCCCCTGCCGAGGTTGGAGAGGGCTGGGCGGAAGCTGTGGTTGGGCGTTGAGGGCGCAATGGGCGGGAGTGACTTCTGCGCCTGCGCAAAAGACCAAACGGCGGGTAGACTCCCCTCCCCGAGGACCTTGCCTTTCCTCCTCTATCAAATGGGTACAGGCTTCCCAGAAGATGGTCAGCTTTGCTTCCTGCTGGACCTGAGGGGCCGAGCTGCCAGTCCTGGGTGGGACCTCCTGGAGAAGACAGGACCCCAGCGCATAAACTGGCCCTTCCTTCCTCTGGGCCTCAGTTTACTCTCCTGTAAAATGGGGTCCCTTGCAGCTCTGCTAGCCCAAGATTCCGTTAGCTGGGGCGTGGCCCTGCTCAGGCCCCTTCTCCCTTGTCTCCAGGTGTTAGGTCCTGCGGGGGCGGGGCAGCAAAAGTTGATCAGATCGATTGATCAGTACTGACCCCAAGCGCAGAGGAGGCTCCAGGGATGGCAGGGCAGCAGGGATCTCTGGCCAGATCTGTGAGGGTGTGAGGGGCTGTCACAACAAGCAGAAGACCTGGGTTCGAATCCCACCCTGGGCCTGGCCGGGCTCAGCCTGAGCCTGTCGCTCATCTCCTCGAGCTTCAGACTGTTAAGGGACCTGAGAAGACTGTCCAAGGTTTTCCCCTTGGGTTTTGCACTATCTGTGTGAGCATCACCAGCTTCCCTCCTGAGGGCTAGGCGCTGTGTAGAATCAGCCTCCTGAGAAGGGGTCGGGGGGCTCCCCAGACGCCCAGAGGGCCGTGACCCGCAGACGGCCCAAGATCCCCGATGCTAGCCCAAGACGGGTAAACCGAGGCCCAAGGAGGCCTCCCCAGGCCGAGTGCCTGGCTGCTGCAATGGGCACAGCCTTCGAGGTCTCCCTTTGAAAGTTCAGGGGGGTGGGAGCACCCAGTGGGCACCGTGCTGGACTGGTCCTCAAAAGCCAGCTAGGGAGCTAGTGGCACCGTGGATGGAGCTCTGGAAGAGCTGGGTTCAAATCCTGCCTCAGACACTTGCTAGCTTTGTGACCCTCAGCAAGTCACTTAGCCTCTCTTTGCCTCAGTTTTCTCATCTGTAAAATGGGCACCACAGTGCTGACCTCCCAGGGTCACTTTGCAAACCTTAAAGTGCTACAGAAATGCTGCTCTTATTGGTGCAGTCCTTTCTTTTTACACAAGAGGAAACAGGCCCGGACATAAATAAATAATAAATAAAGAGCCGGAGCTCCAAGGACCTTCAGAGGAGGCTAAGGGACAAAGTAGTTTGGCATCAGAAAAAAAAAAATACAGCCTGGCCCTGAAAGGCCCTGGGTGGGCAGGGGGCCGAGGGCCAGGCACCAGAGGGAAATACTCTTTGTATCCCCATGGCTTAGCACAGGGCCTCCACACAGTAGGTGCTTAATTAATGTTTATTGGCTTGACCTCACGATTTTACTCAGCACAGGCCTCGGCCAGAGTTGCTGGTGGGTGCAGCTGTTATTTGTCTGTGGCCTTTTCATTCATGTGACATTTTGTACATTGGGAAAATGAGGCCCAGAAAGGTGCCCACATTGCTAAGTCCTCTGGTCTCTTCAAGAGTGAAAAACCTTAAGTCATTCCCCAATCGAGAAATGGTCAAAGGATATGAACAGTTTTCAGAGGAAGACATTAAAGCTATCTTTATGAAAAAATGCTCTAAATCATTATTAATTAGAGAAATGCCAATCAAAACGACTCTGAGGTACCACCTCACACCCATCAGATTGGGCAACATGACAAAACAGGTAAATGATAAATGTTGGAGAGGATGTGGGAAAATTGGAACACTAATGCATTGTTGGTGGAGTTGTGAAATGATCCAACCATTTTGGAGAACCATTTGGAACTATGCCCAAAGGGCTACAAAAACATGCATACCCTTTGACCCAGCAATAGCACTTCTAGGGCTATATCCCAAAGAGATCATACAACTGGGAAAAGGACCCACAGGAGCAAAAATATTCATAGCAGCTCTTTTTGTGGTGGCAAAGAACTGGAAATGGAGGGGATGACCATCCGTTGGGGAATGGCTGAGCAAGTTGTGGTATATGAATGTAATGGAATACTATTGTGCTATAAGAGATGATGAACAGGCCGACTTCAGAAAAACCTGGAAAGACTTGTATGGTCTGATGCTGAGTGAAGTGAGCAGAACCAGGAGATCGTTGTACACAGTAACAGCCACATTATACAATGACTAAGATTGTCAAACTGAATCCTTCTCAGCATTACGAGGATCTAAGACATCTCCAGTGGCCTCAGGATGGAAAATGCTCTCCACATCCAAAGAACGATGGAGTCTGACTGAAGATAGAAGCATACTATTTGCTCTCTTTTTTTCTTCTGTTTTATTTCCTCTTTCTGGTGGTTCCTCCTATTGGTTCTAATTCTTCTTTACATCATGACTAATGTAAAAATATGTTTAATAAGAATGTATATTTATAGCCTGTATGAGATTGCACGTCATCTTGGGGTGGGGAGAAATGGGGAGAAAATTTGGAACTCAAGATCTTATGGAAGTGAATGTTGAAAAGTAAAAATAAATACAAATTTAAAAAAAGAGTGAAAAACCTTCATTCTTGGGACACTTATCCTATTCCCACCCAAAAGATGAGACTAGGACCAGCGGGGAAAATTAGAAGGGCAGGTTTAGTTTACATGGAAGGAAAAAATTTCAAGTGCTTGGACCTGATCCAAAGTGGAATGGGCTGCTCTGACAGTTAGTGAGCTCTCCATCTTTAGTGGTATTTAAGTAGAGGCTGGACAAGCACCACCAAGTCATTGGATAGGTCAGACTAGGCGCTTGAGAGCCCCCATCCCTCTCTGAGGGTCTGTAAATCCATTGGTAACTTGGGAGCTATTTGGAGCACTTAGGGCAGGAGCAATGTCAGCAGGCCTTGAAAATGGGCTTGGGGGGGCAGCTAAATGGCAAAGTGGATGGAGCACTGGCCCTGGAGTCAGGAGGACCTGAGCTCAAATCCAGCCTTAGACACTTGACACTTACTAGCTGTGTGACCTTGGTCAAGTCACTTAACCCTGATTGCCTTGCCAAAAAAAAAAAAGGCTTGGGCAGTCAGAGGGAGGGAAAGATGACTATGTAGAGAAGCTTCCTAGCCAGGTGGTTAGGATTTCTAAGCAGAAGAACCCTTCCTGATGATCTTGGCCAGTCCCATTTTACAGGTGAGGAACACTGAGGCCCAGAGATAGGAGAAGAGTGACTTGTTTCAGGTTACACAGAGCCAGGATTCAAACCTGGGTCATCTCAGACTTCATCCTAGGTTCCCTCCATTGAACAGGCTGCTTCTTGCTGGATGCTGTTACTTGGAAGGGCCCAACCATCATCCAGCAAATCTTAAGTGCCTACTGCACGCAGAACAGTGTAGGTGCTGGGTTTGGCTACGTCATGGCTCTGGCCCTAGCAGAGCTCACAGTCTGTGAAGGGTATGATTTGTGGTATTTGATGATAAAAGCATTGGAGGTGAGGGGACATCAGGGTGGCCCCTGGAGCTGGTGACAAAAGGGGGTGAGTTCAGTTCAGGCACAGGGTGGGCTCAGGGGACAGGGACAGCTTCAGCCTGCCCGGAGATGCTTGGGATCTGGGGGGGAGGGGTCAGGGGGCCCTGGCAGTAGCACTGGGAAATAGGGACTGAGACGGTGGGCGGACGAGAGGCTGTGGGGGAGGGGAGGAGCCCACCACGACACAGACCCCTCTCTGCCTGCATCTCACAGCAGCCTGCTGGCTGGTAGAGCTCCTGGTGGGCTCCTGGCCGGCCACCATGCCTTGGTCATTTCTGGGCTTCCCACCACCAGCTGGAAGCCCTGACCATCCCTGCCTGGCTGAACCCATTCCTTCCCCTGCTCTTCCCTGCCTGGGCTCTGGAAGTGGGAGCCACTGGTCTCTGGGTGGCATGACTGGGGCTCAGGTAGTGGGGTGGCCCTCTGGGAAGTCACTGCCCCAAAGTCTTGTTCACCGCCCAGGGCTGGTGACGGGGCTGCAGGGGGTGGATCTCTTAGGAGCGCCTGGCCTCTGGCCTCTGGCTAGGCATCCTAACTGCCCACCCTGTCTCTAGGCTGGCGAGGCTGGAAGCCAGGATGAGCAGGATCTGGGGAGTGGGAAAAGTACCAAGGGAAGGAAGAGGGTGCTTTCGGGGAGGAGGAAGAAACGTCACCTCCTGAGAACTCAGGCAGTCAACACGGCAGACACTGAGGTTAGTCGAAATAACTGTTAAGGCTTAGTGAGAAAGGCACCAAACCCGGGGAGGTGTTTGCCTCTGGAGGGTGGGGGCTGTGGGAACAAGGAGTCCAGGGAGTCACAGCCTATACGTGGGAGCAGGGGCGGGAGTTAGGGGGGTCAGCTGTGGTTGGCCAGAGCGCAGGATTTCCCAGCCAGGAGAGCCACCTGGGCAGGCAGTGAGTCCCCAGGGACTGGAGAGGTTCCAAGGGCAGGCCCGATGGGTACTGTCCAGAGTCCTTGGCAGAGGGGACCCGATTCAGAGGGGGCTCTGTCTGCTCTGAGACCCCACGATTCTAGGACACGGATGCGGAGGCTGCCGGGGTGCTGCTGCTGAGCCCTGTGGGAAGGCAGAATGGTATCCTGCGTGGCGGATGACGGTGGCAACCACGATCCAAGGCACTCCGTCTAGACTGTGGGGCTGCCATGCCGGACACAGAGCCTCGGGAAGCCCTCTTTCATGGAACAAGCCAGGTCATCAAAGTCTTTGCTGAGGTGGATGTGCTGGACGGGAGGACGGTTCGGCGGTCAGTGCGTGGCTGGAGGGTGTCCAGGCCGGGCCCCCTACCAGACCCACGCCCCCCCCCCCTCCGAGGCCCAGCTCAGCTTGGCTCGGGAGAGCTCACTGCGGCCCGGCCCTTTGCGGGGTCGACTTTTGGCCAGGGCGGCTTTCCAAGACCAACTCCTAAGTCACGGCCTGTTCTTGGACAGCAAGCCTCCCCCCTGCTTAACTCTGGGGTCTTTTCTCTGTTAGTTGTTTCCTATTTTTCCTGTCTGTGGCTGGTGCTGTCTGGAGCTGGGGCCGCTAGGGGGCGCCACAGTGCACAGAGCCCCGGCCCTGGGGTCAGGAAAACTCATCTCCCTGAGTTCAAATCTGGCCTCAGACACTTCCTAGCCTGTGGCCCTGGGCAAGTCACTTCACTCTGCCTCAGTTTCCTTATCTGCAAAATGGACTGGAGAAGGAAATGGCAAACCAGTCCAGTACCTTTATGAGGAAAAGCCCGAGTGGGGTCACGGAGAGACAAACGAAATACGCCTGAAAATCTGTCTTTGTCTATAGCTTGCAGTGTTCTCCCCTTCCCCATTAGACTGTAAGCTCCCTGAGGTCAAGAACTGTCTTTTGCCTCTTTTAGCATCCCCAGCGCTTAGCACAGCGCCTGGCACTAGGAGGCGCTTAATGAATACTTATTGAATGAATGGGGATCGCCCTCCTCCGGTCCCATTGCTGGAAGGTCCCTTCCAGATCTGACTTTCAGGGATTGTGGCTCCAGCCCTCACTAAGCAGAAAGAAGCCAGTGTGGAGCAGATGCTCTGAGCCACTCCCCGACCACGCCCATTCTCTCCCTGGCCCGCCGATACCGGACCGCTGGGTGCCCTGCCCTGGGCGGTGACCGCAGCCGGCTCCAGGGCCGCCCGCACACAGGAGGCACTTTCAATGCAGCCTTTTGACTGAATTAGCGGAATGATTCAGAGTCCCGCGCCCACCTCCTCCTACGTACCGAGAAGTCCAAAACCTCCAGCCCCGAGTCTGGGTTCATCTGGACGGCCCTGAGGAGACCGAGGCAGCCCTCGCTCCGCATGGGGTTCCTGCCCATCTGCGGAGAGAGAAGGGGCGCAGTCAGCCAGGATTCGGGGGCAGCTGCCGAGCGCTTCACTGCGAGACGGGAAGATCGGGGTTCAAATTCCACCCTGGACGCTCAGCTGCCGTGGGACCGCAGGCAAGCTACCTAACCTGGGTGAGCCGCAGTTCCTCTCGGTCAGCTGGAGCCTGCTAGGACGCTCAAGCGAACCAAGGGGCGCAGGTAGCGAACTGTGAAATTGGAACCCAGATCCTGCCTCTCCACCTCCCACAACACCCCCGATCCTGAGCTCTCAGAGCACAGAGGGACCTTGAGGGTTCCCTCCAGAACACCCCCGGCAAGTGACCCCCTTCTAGAGGACCTCTAGAGAATGGGGCGCTCACTACCTCTCCTGGAGGCCCATTCCAAGATTGTATGGTTTTAATGGTCAAAAAGTTGGGATTAATCCCCCACTCGCCTCACTTCTCCTAGCTCTGCTCTCTGGGGCAAAGGAAAAAGGAGGCTGATCCCTCTTCCACCACCTTTCTAACAATTAGAGATAGTCTTTAGGACCTAGAGTCTAGGTGGTGCTGAGTTCAGGTGGGACCTGCGTTCAAATCCAGCCTCAGACACTGTGTAACTGAACAAGTCACTCTAACCTCTATTTACCTCAGTTTCCTCATCTGTAAAGTGGAGACAATAAGGGCCCCTTCTTCCCACAGAATCAAATGAGATAATAATTGTAAAATGTTTAGCACATCGCCTGACGCCTAGTAAGGGCTGTATAAGTACTAGCTGTTGTTTATTATTGCTTATTCGCATTTCCATAGTGCTTTGAGGTTTAAAAGCACTTTACACATCTCATTTAACCCTCTAAAAACACTGAGGAAGATGCTATTACAACCTTCATTTTACAGGTAAGGAAACTGAGGCCGAGGGAGGTCAAGGGTCTTGCTCAGGGTCGTGGAGCTTGTGTCAGGCAGGATTTGAACTCAGGGCTTCTTGATTTCCAGACCAGCGCTCTGTGCACTGCGCCTGCTCTCCACCTCCCGAGTGCCTGGTCTTCTCCCTCGTGGGACACCCCTCCACAGTCAGGAGCACCACTCACCAAGAGGATCCTCAGAGTACAGTTTTCCCTCAGTCCGCTGGAGAATCGGAGGGCTCCCGGAAGTGAGATGTGGTTGTTACTTAAGAGAGAAGACAGTCATTGCTGACGGCTTAAACGTAGCCCCTTGGGGGTCCGTCTCTGTCCTCTTGGTGGGGTCACAGAGACACAGAATGTGGGTGAGAGGCTGGTGGGCAGGGGGTGAAGGGGCCACGGAACACACATATCAGAGTTTTACTCCCTCCTTTTACAGATGGGGAAACTGAGGCCCGGGGGGGCAGAGGGAGATTGTTCGCCATCACACAGGTGGCAGGGGGGGGGGATGGGAGGCCCCTGGACGCAAAGGGCAGCCGATTCACAGAATTTCGTATCCGCTTTCACTCAGCCTCCTTTCATCCCAATAGGAGGAGCAGTAAGCTGCTCCTACATACAAGAAGTGTGCATAGAGGCAGCAGACTGTAAGCTCTCTGAGGGCAGGGACAATGCTGTGTAGTATATATAAATATAAGAGCTACATAAACGTCAAGGCATTTCTATTTTTATATCCCTAGCACCAAGCCTGCCCAGTGCCAGGCACACAGTAGGCACTTCATAAACGTTGGCTGAAGCCTTCTTCTTCTCCCCCCATCCCTCCCCCATGGCTTGTGCCTTCACTTCTGATATCATTTTATAACAGCCTGAATTTACACAGGACTTTAAGGTTTGCACTTAATCTCATTCGAGCCTACAACATCCCTGGGAGGGAGGTGCAATAGCCCCATTTTACAGTTGAGGAAAGTGAGGTAAACAGAAGTGAAGTGACTTGCCCATGGTCGCATGGCTAGTAAGCGTCTAAGGCTGGATTTGAACTCGGATCTTCCTAATTCCAGGTTTAGTGCTCTGTGCACCGTGGTATCACTGAGATGCCTCATCTTCTCTCTACTTCCCTCTACTGGGTCTGTGCCTTGTGGACTCAGTGATTTGCATGTTGTCTCCAGGGGATACCAGACAAAAGTCAGCCCCTGCCCTGGAGGAGGGAGGGGGAGGGGCAGGAGGGGAGGGCCAGGAGGAGCCGGGCTGGGTCCTCACCTGATGTTGAGCTCCTCTAGCACGCTGTTGACTTTCAGAGCCTCCCCTATGGCGGCTGCTCCTTGGTCACCAAAGCCGTTGTAGGAGAGGTCCAGCACTTTGAGATAGATATTGGCCTGTGGAATTTGACAGGACAGACTGGACGGTGATGATGCTGAGGAGAAGGAGGGAGGAGGGAGGAGGAGGAGGAGAGAGAAGGAGTATCATGGGGAAGGGGAGAAGGAAGGAGGAGGGAGAGGAGGGAGGGGGAGTGAGAAGAAAGGAGGAGGAGAGGGAGAAGGAGGAGGAGGGGGAGAAGGAAGGAGGAGGGAGAGGAAGGAGGGGGAGTGAGAAGAAAGGAGGAGGAGGGGGAGAAGGAAGGAGAAGGGAGAGGAGGGAGGGGGAGTGAGAAGAAAGGAGGAGGAGAGGGAGAAGGAGGAGGATGGGGGAGGAGAAGGTAGGAGGAGGGGGGAGTGAGAAGGAAGGAGGAGGAGGGGGAGAAGGAGAAGGGGGAGGGAAAGGAAGAGGAGGGAGGGGGAGGAAGATGGGGATGTGGCAAGTTCATTAAAGCTTCATCTTTTACTAAGTCCTGGAAAGGGAGGGAGGGCAGCTGGGGGTGAAAGCACAGGAGGCTTTGCCTCCTCCTCTCTGGCTGCTGGGGGAGCTCAGGGAGAGCTCCTGGGGCCAGATGGGAGGCAGGGCTCCCACTTTAGAGGGCTGCCCCAGTTGGGGGTGGGGGGCAGTGCTGCTGGGCAGATCCCAGAGGCTGCTGGTCCAAGAATGCCCGTTGGACCCAGGCCACAAATGACCATCCAGGCTCTTCGTGGATTCCCCTGGTGAGGGGGAGCCTGCCCCGGGCCCCTGCCCGAAGCCGGCCCGTGGAGGTTTGGACAGCTCTGCTGCGGGGGAGAGTTTCCTAAATGCGCTCTGGGAGCCCTCTGCCCTCTCTGCTGTTCAGGGCCTGGACGGGTCCAGCTGTTGGTGCCATGAGTCACTGACATTGTTCCTGTCACCTTGGCGGATCCCCACCCCCACCCCCACCCCGGCACCAGCTGGGCTGTATTTGTCCATCCCCACACTGGCACCCTAAATGCCCGGCCAGGCCCAGAGCGGGAGAGGAGGGGCAGGGGGCGGGCCCGTACCCCAAGGCCGAGGGTGAAGGTCACAGCTCCCGGGCCGCGGAGGTGGTTCCAGCTGAGATTAAGCTCCTTTATGCCGACATTTTCCGCCAGGGCCGGCCCAAGCGTCTCCCCTTAAGGAGAAACAAAAGTCCCAGTGGTGTCCATGGGGCCTTTAGTTTGCTTCTGCCGGGGGGGGGGCAGGGGTGGGTGCTCAGGGAAAGTCGGGGAGAGGGGCTGTCTGAGGGACTGGAAAGCCCAAGCGAGGAGCCCAGCCTGGGGATCGGGCCCCTCCAGTCCTCCTGCAGGTCACCGGAGGCCAAGTGTGGGTCTAGCAGTGGCGCCCATCCTGTGACCTCTGCAGCAAGTTTCTCCATCTATAAAATGGGCTGGGCTCAAGACCTCCTTTTCCTTCCCCTCTCACAGACAGTTGGTGACACACATTCCTCACAGAACACAGACGCTGTCACCCCTGCTCTCCAGAAGCCTGGTGCTGGCTGAGCAAACGCTCCCCAAACAGTGAAAGCACCCACACCTTTACGGCCTGGCAAGCTTTTTCCTAGTGCCCCCCTGTGAGGCTCAGTAGGGATCGTAAGCAGACTGTCCCCATTTTATAGATGAGGAAACCGAGGCTCTGTGAGGTTGGGGCAGTCTCTGCCACTTGCCTGCTGATGCTCGGATGAGGGGCATATTGGCCCACAGGCCTGGGCTCTGGATTATCAGTGTGGAGACTCACCACCAGAGAGGCCCAGCCTCCCTGTGGCCTAGGGCCAGGGGACAGAGGGCTGCAGGGTGGGGAGTCATGGGAAGCCCTCCATACCAAGAATCCAAGGAATCACCACATCTGGCTGTTTGGTCTCACCCATAATACCCAGCCTCGGCTCCCGGGCCTCCAGTGACGGGGAGCTCACTACCTCCTGAGGCAGCCTTCCCATTTTTGGAGAGCTCTACTTGCTAAGACGTTTTCCAGACATGTAGCCTAGATTTGTCTCTTTGGGGTTTGCCCTTATCCCTCTTTTCTCTGGAGCCAAGAAAAACAAGTCTGACCCCTTGTTACCTCCCGGGGTGTGAGTCTGACACTTGGGGTGAGTTGGAGGAAAAGGGCAGCCGAGCTGGTAAGTGTTTGAACCCCAGTCAGTGCCCCTGCCCTGTGGCCTTTTTACCCCTCGGGGGTCACTCCCTCACTCCCTCCCCTCCCGCAGGGTCTCCTACCGGCTTCCTCATCCAGAAGGTTGTGGCTCAAGTCCAGCAGCTCCACCTTCGTGTTGACCATCAGGGCATCAGCGATGTCCTTGGCGGCTTGAGTGTCGAGGTTACTCCCAGACATCCGAAGCCGCCGCACAGAGGTGTTCTCTTTGAGGGCAGCACAGAGGGCCTTGGCACCTTTGGCCCCCACTTTGTTATCAGACAGATCAAGATCTGATGTGAGAGACACAGGGGACGGACATCAGAGGTTGTGGACAGAGCCAGGCAGACCTGGGTTCAAGTCCTGCCTTTAATGTTTGAGTGTATGTGTGTTACCTTGGAAAGATTGCCTAACTGCTCTGTATCTCAGTTTCCTTTTTTGTAAGAAGGGTTTAGCTCTCCTTACCCTCATATAGTCTCAGATGATAAGGCTTAATGTGCTAACACCTGGCCATCCCTTTACAAAGTGTGAACACCTTCTCAAAGGATTTGAAATGGGCAGCTCCAATGACTGAAGGAAGATGGCCAGCTTCTAGATGATCCTTAAAGGTTGGTTTGAGAAATAGAGACACACATTCCAGATATAAATATGCAGAGATACTAGTTACAACCAGAAGCAGCTTCAGGGTATAGAACCTCTGGAAGACAAGAAGAGAGCTGGCCCTGGTAAATGAGGATCAAGAGTTAAGGAGTGGGACCTCTGGAAGACAAGAAGAGAGCTGGTCGTGGCTGCAAGACAGAGCTAGCCTGGGCAATTAAGAATCAAGGTTTAAGGAGAAGGACCTCTGGAAGAAAAGAAGAGAGCTGACCCTGGCAAATGAGGATCAAGAGTTAAGGAGTGGGACTCCGGAAGACAAGAGAGCTGGCCATGGCTGCAAGAGAGAGCTAGTTCTGGAAGTTGAGAGTCAAGCCAGGGAGAGGAGTACCTGAGGCCTGGGGGCCTATCTGAGCAGCCCCATAGAGATGTTGTACTTTGGGGGAAGGGGTAGAGCTTGGTGAGGACTGTTCAGGCCCTGCAGTGCTGGAATTAGGGGTGGCCTTGGCCACATGTCTTTGCTACGTATGTGCCTTTCTAACACTGTACTCTAAGCTTGAACCCCCTTTCCTCTGGACAATGTGTGTCCCCCTGGGGCTTAGCTGAAGTCCTGACCCTTCTGCAGGAAGCAGGCCCCCTCCCCGCAGGAGGCCGGAGGAACACTGAGCCAGCAGAGGGCAGTGTTGTAAGGGGGAGAGAGCCTTGGTTCTGGAGTAAGAGGCCCTCCGTTCAAATCCCACCCCTACTGATTACTGCTCCCGACCTCAGCTTTCTCTTCTGTAAAAGGAGGGGGCTGGACTTGGTTGCCTCTGGGGCTCCTTTCAGATCTCAGTGGATGAGCCCATGATCCTAATTCACTTAACTTTCCTGGCCTTAGTTTCCTCATTTGTGAAAGGGATTCAGTGACCTCTGGGGCCCCTTCCGGGTCTAGATCTGTGGTCCCCTGAGGTCATGGGGGAGTGGAGACAGCCCCTCCTCAGCTTGGACTGGGTGAACCACTGATGACGTTATCATGAAGGTCAGCAGAAATCGAGGCACAGCATTGGGGCCCAGCCCGAGTGGCATCTGGGGATGGCCGCCCAACCAAGGCCTGGCTCAGCCACACGTCGAGCCTCAGCTTTCCCCTCTGTCAAATGGCTAGAATGATCCCTGTGCTTACCAGCCCCGGGTAGGCTGGAGCACCCACCTGTGATGAAGCAGTTTTCCTTCAGCATTCCAGCGATCGCCGTGGCCCCTTCCTCGTTCAGCCAGTTGTCACTCAGATTCAGTTTCAGAATGGAGGTGTTGGACATCAAGGCTGAGGCCAGGGCCTGGGCCCCCTGTAACACAACACAGGCCTGCTAATGGGGGCAGAGAGGTAGAGGGTTCAAGTTCTGACGCAGGCACTTGCTGGCTATGTGACCTTGGACAGGTCACTTCTCAAACCCTTGCTTGGGGAGACCCGGAGAGCAGCTGCTTGTTACAACAGGTAGAATCTTAGGGGTCACCCAGCCCTGCCTCCACTGTGGCCCAGAGAGGGGAATGGGAAAATCATCTTTTTCAGAGGAGGAGGCTGAGGCCCAGAGACAGAGAGGGATTTGCCTCAGGTCACACAACTAGCAAATAATGAAGTTGGGCCCAGAACCAGGGCATGCCCATTTCATCACCTGGGCCCAGGTCAGTGAGTTAATAGGAGAACCAGGCCTGGAGCTGGGGCCTCCTCACGCCAAGGCCAGGGCTCTGTCCGCTGTGCCACAGTTTCCCTGTGACTGAGGCTGGTCACAGAGCTGACAGCCAGAGCCGGGCATTGTGCTACGTGCTGGGGGTGCAGAGCCAGAAACAGGAGTCCTGCCCTTACACTCTTACACCCTGCAGGCCCCAGGGGGCAGTGAATGTGTCTCTACCTGAGGCCCCAGGCCATGGTGCATCAGCATGAGCTCAGGATCGTGCATGTGGTGAAGGAAGTAGGAGATGGGCACCACTCCGTAGGTCTCACAGGCCGCCAGGTACTGGGACCTGCCAGTGAGGTCATGTAGCCCACAGGGCACTGTGGGAGAGAGAGATGTGAGGCAGTCAGAGTGAATGAAAGAGCCTTCCTTATCAGTAGTTTGGTTTTTGAAGACCCCTTTAAAAAAACAAACAAACAATGGAGAATTCTCTCTCTGACCTAGCCTCCACTCAAGTCCAGGAGCATTTATTAAGCACCTACTGTGCGCAAGGCCTGGGGCCTGGCTCTGGGTCTATAAAGAAGTAAGCCCCTCCAGAGTCCCTGCCCTTAAGGACCACACATTCTGGGAAGCCATGGAAGGTTGTGGAGCAGAGGAGTGACTGGGGATAGGACTGGGCCTTGGGAAGGAGGAGGGGGGTATTGGAAGAGTCCGAGTGATTAAGAAAACCACTATCGTACAGGGCCAGCCTTCAGCAGCCTGGCACTCTGGCCCAACAACCGTTTTTCACAGCTGATGATGGTGGGTCTGGCTGCTCCACACTTTCCCACCTCTGAGCCTGTGCCTCACTACGCTCTGCATGCCCTTTCTTTCCCTCTGCCTTTTGAAGTCCTCCCTAGGCTTTAAAGCCCTGCTCCACTGCCTCCTTCTCCAGGAAGACCTCCTTGATCCTCTCTTGCTACAATCTCCTGGTCAGAAATACGCTTTCCTTCTTCTCACTTGGCTTTGTCCCGGCTCTGAGGACCACAGGACATAGATTCGGAGCTGGACATCCGCTAGTTCCACACCGTCCTATTACAGAAGAGGAAACGCTCCCCGTGGGGGCAGGGGCTTAGCCTAAGGTGACAGAGCAAATGGCAGAGCTGGGATTCTAGCCCAGGCCCCCCACTCCAAATCCAGCCCCTTTCCCTCTGACCCAGCTTCAGCACTTTGGTTTAAAAGACCCTTGGATGACACCTATTCAGATTGGCTAGTGTGACGGAAAAGGGAAGTGATAAATGTGAGAGGGGATATGGGAACACTGATGCATTGTTGGTGGAGTTGTGAACTGATCCAGCCATTCTGGAGAGCAATTTGGAACTGTGCCCAAAGGGCTATAAGATTGTGCATCCCCTTTGACCCAGCAATACCACTACTAGATCTGTATCCCAAAGAGATAAACAATTAAAAGGGAAAGGACCCACGTGTACAAAAATATTTATAGCAGCTCTTTTTGTGTTGACCAAGAACTAGAAACCAAGGAAATGCCCATCAGTGAGCAAATTGTGGCACGTGATTGTGATGGAAGGCCGTTGTGCTATAAGAAATGACAAGCAGCAGCGAGCACTGACAATGTGAGCAATGTTGTCCTTCCCAGCCCAAGTAGCTTAGTTCCAAGAGGCAGCAGCCAACTTCGCAGTGGGAATGGGAGTGGTAGAACAGCTGGGGTGACAGGAGGTGCCACTAAAACCAGCTCAGAACATAGTAGCAACTCGTCATCATCCTCACTCGAGAGCCCGACCTCCCAGGAGTCACAGCTCAATGCAATGAAGTGCTTACAGAGGGTCAAGAAGGAAGCTGCTCAAAGAAACTGAAGAAATAGCTTAGGGGCATTTGCTTTTATCTCACCCTGCATCAATGACAACTTCTGTGCTGAAGATAAAAAAAAATTATGTTTTGTTTAATAAAAAGTTACATGACCAGGCTAAAAAAAAGAAGAAAGAAATGGGGGCAGCTAGATGGTACAGTGGATAGAGCACTGGATTCAGGAGGACCTGAGTTCAAATCTGGCCTCAGACACATAATACTTACTATCCCATTGCCTAGCTCCCCCCCCCCCAAAAAAAACCCTAGAAATGACAAGCAGGATACTTTCAGAAAAACCTGGGAAGATTTACTTGAACTGATGCAGAGTGAGGTGAGCAGAACCAGAAAAAGATTGTGTAACAGTAACGCAGTAACAGCAACATTGTTTGATGATCAACTGTGAATGACTTAGCCATTCTCAGGAATACAAAGATCCAAGACAATTCTGAGGGACTTAAGATGAAAAAATGCTCTCCACCTCCAGAGAAAGAACTGGCAGAGTCTGAACACAGATCAAGAAATGCTATTTTTTTTTACTCTATTTGTTTAGGCCTGTTTTCTTTCATAATATGAGTAATACGGAAATATGTTTTGCATGACTGCACATGTATAGCCTATATCAAATTGTTTGCCTTCTCAATGAGGGGGGAGGGAGGAAAGGATGGAGGGAGAGAATTTGGAACTCAAAATTTTAAAAAATGTTAAAAATTGATCTTACATGTAATTGGGGAAAAATAAAATATTAAATAAATTAAAAATCTTAAAAAAGAAAAAATACTCTGGGAGGTAACCATGGCCAGCATTATTCCTCTCCTTTTACAGAGAGGCTGCAGGGCTTGCCTGAGGTGGAATTTGAACCCCGATCTCTCCTGACTCCAGGTGCACAGGCCATGCTGCCTATTGGAGAGTGTGTGGTGTCATAACCCTTTGAGTCCTGCACTGTTGTATGTGGAGAATGTTCAGAGAAGCTAGCCAGGGGAGAGAAACATCCTAACTCTCTTCAGGTATCTTCCTCTCTAGGCTTCACTCCTGATCCTGGCCAAGCCACAGAAGCATCCTCACCCAGGAGGGTCACTCCACCTGAGGCCCCTTCCTCTCACTGGCTGGCTCTTTCCAGACCCTGGTCAGCCATGTCTCCAGTGCTCTTCAGCTGGACTCCTTCCTCACTGGATGTGCTCTACCTCCTCTCTATAGGGATACCAAAATACAAACAGATAGACCCTGCCCCCAAGGAGCTTACCACAGTCTGATGGGGAAGACAGCGTGCAAATAGTTGGGTATACATAAAGTACCTACCGATGGAAGGTAATCATTGAGGGGGGGCTGTGGCAGCCAGGGTGGGCTGGGGTGGACTGGGAAAGGCCTCTTGCAGAAGGTGGGATTTGATCTAAGTCTTGCAGGAAGCCAGGAGGGACAGTGTTTCAGGCATGGGGCACAATGAGTTCAAAGGTGTAGAGTCAGAAGATGGAGTATCTTGTCTAAGGAGCACCAAGGAGGCCAAAGCTACTGGATCAAAGAGTATGTGGAGGGGAGTAGGAAGACTGAAAAGGTAGGAGAGGGCCAGGTCACGGAGACCTTTAAAAGCCGAATAATTTGCTCCTGGAGGCAACAGGGAGCCACTGGAGTTTACTGAGAGGGGGTGACATGGCTAGACTTGAACTCTAGGAAAATCACTGGTGGCTAAATGAAGGATGGACTAGAGTGGGGAGAGACTGGAGGCAGACAGACCCCCCAGCAGCTACTTCCTCAGGGGAAAAGTGATGAGGGTCTGCATAGGGTACTGGTAGTGTCAGAGGAAAGAAAGGGGTATATGGCAGAGATACTGCAAAGGTGATATCAATGAGTGATGTTGCAAAGGTGAAATGGACAATGCTGTAGAGGTGAAATTGACAGATGTTACGAAGGTGAAATGAACAGGAGATGCTGGAGAAGTGAAATCAAGGAGACATGCTGCAAAGGTGACATGGACAAAAGGTACTGCAGAGGTGAAATCGACAGGTGTTGCTGAGGTGAAATATATAAGAGATGCTGCAGAGGTGAAATCGACAGGCCTTGGTCTCAGTTTGGTGAGGGTTGAGAGAAAGTGAGGAGTTCAGGATAACTTCTAGGTTGTGAGCCTAGGGGACTGAGAAGATGGTGGAGCCCTTGACAGTCTTGACAGTAATAGGGAAGTTAGGAAAAGGAGAGGATTTGAGGGGAAAGATAATGAGTGCAGTTTTGCACCTGTTGAGTTTTCTATGCTTATTGGAATATCCACTTCAAAGTGTCCAATAGTCAGAACTGAGAATAGCAGGAAGCAGTGAGATCACCACCAAATCTCCTCTAAAAAGATCTAGGGAATGTACTAGACCAAAACTTATGGGGAAATCTAAGGGAAAAAATCATGGTGAGTCATATTTCTAGCCCAGGTTGACATAAAGACAGAGAGATCTGTGGACAATGGGGATGGAGTCTGGCCAGGACTCCCTGAGACAACAAGAAATATTAAAACAAAGTCAAAGCTTCATGATGGGTATGATGGATATAGTATTTCTTGCCTTCTCAATGGGTGGGGAAAGGGTATAAAGAAAGAGAGAATTTGGAACCAATATTAAACATAACATTTTAAGAGAAAAAAGTCAAAAGACTAGAAAAAATAGAAGAACATGTAAGGTATTTCATAGCAAAAACAACTGATCTGGAAAACAAAGTGAAGAGAAATCATTTAAGAATCATTGGACTACCTACAAGTCATGACCAAAAAATGAGCTTAGACATTACATTTTAAGAAATCTTAAAAAATAATTACCCATATCTCTTACAACCAGAGGGCAAAGCAAAAATGGAAAAAATCCACTGGTCACCTCCTGAAACTCCAAAATGAAAACTCCCAGGAATATTTTAGCCAAATTAGGGCCAAAGAAAAAATATTGCAGCCAGCCAGAAAGAATGAATTCAAGTATTGAGAATCCACAGTCAAGATTGTACAAGATTTCACAATGATCATTATAAAGGAGCAGAGAGCTTGGGATACAATATTCTAGAAGACAAGGGATACGGGCTTACAACCAAGTTTTGCCAATTTACTCAGCAAAACTGAATATAATTCTACTGGGAGGAAAAATGGATCTTTAAGGAAATAAAGAGGACTTCCAAGCATTCCTGATGAAAAGACCAGAGCTGCACAGAAACTTTGAAATGCAAACACAGGAGTTAAGAGAAACTTTAAAAAGTAAACATGAATGAACAATGATAAATGACTAAAGAAATATAAACTAATTATGATGGGGAGGTGATAATTTTGTTCCTCAGAACCCTAACATCATCAGGGGTTATAGAGGGAGTCTGATTAGACAAGGCCTGGGAATGGCTCCATTATGTCTTGATGATCTTAAGAAAAGAATGGAAAGGGAGGGGAAGAGGATTATACTGAGGTGAGGGGAGGGAAAAGAAGTTTAGGGAACATTATCTCACACAACTAAGGTGCAAACAAAGAGGAAGGTTGCAGATGGCTGACACTTCAACCGCCTCTTATCTGAACAGTTCAAAGGAGGGAAGAATCCACACATATGTACATACAGCTGGGGTCAGGATTACATTTCCCTTAACAGGGAAATGGGCAGCTAGGTGGTGCAGTGGATAGAGAGCTAGGTCTGGAGTCAGGAAGACTCAAGTTCAAATCCAGCCTCAGACATTTACTAGCTATGTGACTCTGGGCAAGTCACTTGACCCCATTTGCCTCAGTTTCCTCATCTTTAAAAGGAGCTGGAGAAGGAAATGGCAAACTATTCCAGTATCTTTGACCCCAAATTAGGTCATGAAGAGTTGGACATGACTGATCAAACAACAACAGGGAAATAGCAGGGAAAGGGGAGAAGGGGGAATTAGAGGGAGGATAGATTAAGGGAGAGATTCTTTGTAAGCAAAATCAACTCTAAGGATAGACAAAAATATTTACAGCTCCTTTTGATGCGGCAATGAATAGGAATCTGAGGAGGGTCCCATCAGTTGGGGAATAGCTGAACAAGTTGTGGTCTCTGAATATAATGGAATACTATCATGCTGTATGAAATGATGAAGGGGATGGTTTCTGAGAAACTTGGGAAGACTTGTATGAACTGATACAGGGGGAAGGGAGAAGAACCAGGAGAACAATGTACATGGTAACAGCAATATTGTAAAGTCAAACAACTTGGAAAGAATGAGGACGTCTGATCAGCATAATGACCAACCATGATTCCAGAGGATTAACGATGAAGCATGCTCCCTACCTCCCAATTCAGAGGTTTTGAACGACTCAGAGTACAGAATGATTATAAATGTAAAACATATAATCATTCTGTACTCTGAGTATATATTATGTATAAGATGATATATAAAATATTATACATTATGTTATAATATATAAGATGTATTATATAATACTATATTATTACAGTATATTAAACATTATTGTATATTACATTGTATGCATTATATATTAATAGTGTATACAATATAATATATTATACAATACATTATATATAACATTATACATTGTATAATATACTATTATATAATATATTATATATTGTTTTATATTCTTTACATAAATATACAGCATGTTATATATATTAAGTATATCAAGTATGTATATATATATACATACACATATATATATATATTATATATATACATACATACATATATATATACATACATATATGTATTCCTTCCAGATGGAGCCAACATAGAAATCTGTTTTGCTTGAGTGTGCATGTTTGTAACAGGGGTTTTGTTTTCCTTTGGCTCCTTTTTGGGGGGAGGAGAGTTGAGAGGGAGAGAAAGTAGATCTTTGCTGATTGGAAATAATAACATTTAATTTAAACAATGTCCAACAGGAAGTTGGTGAGTGGAGCTCAGGAGAAAGACTAGACTGGATATAGAAATATGGGAATCCTTTTCATAGAGACAATAATTGGACCCATGGGAGCTGATGAGATCAGGGAGGGAGACAGCAGAGGGGGGTGGTCCCAGGACAGCTGCTGGATCACAGTAAGTAGGAATAAACTCTGGGTTTGGGGTCGGAGAGTTGAGTTTAAATCCTGGATATGCAATTTACCCTCTGTGCAACCATGAGAAAGTCCCTTCCCCTCCTGGGGCCTCAGTTTCCTCATGTGTACAATGAAGGGATGGCCTCTGCAGACCCCTTTAGCTCTGTTTCTGTGACCCCATGTTTCCCATCCCCACCCCAAGTCTTCCAAGAGCAGCCTCCTAATTGGCTGCTCCAATTGGCTGATGTGGGGGGTGATGAGGTCTGGCCTTGGGGGGAGATCCTGGGTCGGGGGTCTGAAAGAAGAGCCCAGACATGAAGGTTGGGAGGTTTGGGGAGGTGGGCAGATGGCCCCTGCCTTGGTTACCTTCCCTTTCTAGGTCAGGGTCAGAGTCTCCCTCGCTGTCCGTCTCATAAGCCCCCTTGGGGCAACCTGCCGGATCACTGCTGTCCTCTTCCCCCTCCTTGGCCTGCAGAGGGCAGTTAGTGCTGAGGTCACTGCAGGGGTCCTTGGGTGTGCTCTGGAAAGGCAAGAACACCGTGTCCAGGGCTGAGGCGGCCCCAAGACCTCCATCCCCCATGCAGTCAGGGAAACCCTAGAGATGGTCTCTGGAGCGGCTCAGTGAGGCAGGGCTTGTGAGCCGACTGGGCCCAGGTCTCTGTCACTGCCTGCCTGGGAGCCCCTTTGGGGCTCCACTATCCCATCTGTAAAAGGAAGGATCATTAATGTAGATCTTCATCACAGCCCCGTTTTACAGATGGGCAAACTGAAGTCCAGAAGCTCTCTGGCCCCTTGGTAGCTGGCTGCTTTCTGGGCCTCAGTGGCCTTCTCTGTCAAAGGAGGGGGTTGGACTCCCTCCCAGGGTCTGTGACACCCTCCCCCCCAAGACTGAGGACTTGGATTTGGAGGGTCCCTCCTCCTGTCTGGATTCGGTTTTCCCAGTCGTACATCCTCGTTGACCTTTAGCACCACTTCCAAACCCATCTTTTCCCAGTTCTGAATCCTAGGGTCCTGTTCTCTCTCTTTGTCCTGTTCTTTCTCCTCTTCACGCGCAATTCGGGGTTGCAGCTTGGAGACCGTGGGCAGGTCCCACGGCCCCGGGCGCTGGTCCACCCCGGCACCGGAGAGGTCCCCCCACGGACCAGGCTTCCGCTCGGCCATGGCCCCCAGAGGGCGGATCCCGTGGCCGAGGCCCCTGCCGCTTATCATCCTGGGCTGCTGGGCGGGCGGCTGGAGACTGGGGTGCCTGGTGGCTGGAGGCGGGGCGGCGGCCTGGGAGAACCAACCTAGGCGGAGACCGAACTAATGGGCGTCCCCCGCAGCCAATAGGAGCCTGCGCGTCCTTCGCTGCCTTGGGAACCGACAACAGCAGGCCTCGTGGGCCGGGCATGAGAAGTGTGGGAGGATGCTCCCGGTCCTGCGGGGAATGGGGTGGGGTAATGGAGAGTCAGGATCGTGGGGAGCTCATTACCCACAAAGCAGAGGAGCCCAGGAGTACTGACTGCAGCAGCAGCCCATGCTGAGAGGAGTAGCTGCAGGGATGGGGAGCTCACTGCCTACCCAGGCAGCCCATTCCAGGTTGGGGGAACTCTGACATGCAGCCTAAATCAGATCCTTCGCAAATCCCCACAGCGCCTGTTCTGTCCTCTGGGGCCCAGCAAAACAAAGCTAATCCCTCCCTTTTCTCCTTTCCCCGTGTGTTGTCTCTCTCGGAATGTGAGCTCCCCGAGAGTGGCACTTTTCCGTTTGTATTGCCAGAGCTTAACTCGGGGCTTTACACGCAGGAAACGTTTAATCAATGCTTCATTCATTCATTCATTCATACATTTATCCATTCGTTCATTCTGCCCCATGACAAGCCTTCCAATGCTTTAGAGACAGCTGCCATGTCCCCTCTCAATCATCTCTTCTCCCCGCTCCTCTGCCGGGTCCTTCCGCGGCCTGATCTTGAGACCCTTCCCATTCTCGTCCCCTTCCTCTGGACCTTTTTCAGAGTCCTTCCTAAAAGAACAGATCACAACCCTCCAGATGTGATCTGAGCAGGGCAGAAGACCCACCTCCTCATTTATGGATGCCACATTTCTCTTACTTGGGAAGATGATTTCTTGAACCCGTATGAGACGTTTACATTTCCTGCCACAGAATTTCATGTTCTCAGATTCTGTTCAAGGCAGGCTAAGAGCATTTTGGGTCTCAGTCTAGCATTCAATGTTGGCTAGCCCTCACAGGTTGGTATCATGGGAAAATTTGACCTTTCTGTTCTGCCACTCACTAGCTCACCCTGTCCTACATCTGTAATGTGTCCTTACATGTGTAAGGTATTACACATAAGTCGTAATGGCTAGCTCTATATTAAGGGCCAGCTAGATGCAAGACCCCATGCTCAGCGCTGGGGATGGAAACCCCACAGATGCTGCCCCCGGGACGCTTACTGTCTATGAAGGAGACAAAATACCCACAGCTAAGTGTGATACAAGAGGCCTTTCTGATGTTGTAAAATCATAGACTCTCGCAGCTGCAGCACACTTCAGAATCTATCCTGTCCCACCCATCCTGACAAAGACTCCCCCCACCCCGTCTGAAAGGCGGGCCTTTGGTCTCTGCAGGAGATGCAGCAGAAAGATGGCTGAATGTAGGGTGAAGAGAACCGGGTTCCGATCCTGCCCCAGATACGTGGTGGCTGTGTAATGTCAAAGAAACAGAACATGACACTGTGTCTAAGACCAGGTGCCACGACAAGAATGTCTTTACTCATTTACAAGCAGCCTGCAAGGAGCTTCTTGGCTTTATGATGCCTCAAGAACGGGGACCAGACAGGACCAGATAGAGTACGGATAGTGCAATTCTCTAGGCTGGCACTAGGAGACGAACAAACACCTGCGTTTGGAGCACTGTCCCAAGGACCCTCTGGATGTTTACAGAGAGGGCATTGTGCCAGGGCTCCGAGCTGTCCAGTTGGGATTATCGCTGCAGCTGCTCACAGGGGTGGGGAGCCTGGGGCCTCCTTGTGCAAAGCTCTTCTTCCCTCCCATCTCTGCCTGCACTTTACCTGGAGGACTTTGAAGCCTGCTTCCATAGTCTCCATGGGCAAGTCATTGTAACTGTCTTAGCCTCAGTCACCTCACCTGTAGGAATAATAATAACAACAATAATATTATCATAGAATTTATACAGTGCTGGAAAGTTTGCAGCATATTTTACAAATGTCTCATCTGCTGAGGAAACTGAGGCAGACAGCAGTGTGACAGGGAGAGGGAGAAGTGTCTGAGGCCGGGTTTGAACTCAAGTCTTCCTGACTTGAGGCCTGGGGCTCTATCCACTGCCTTCCCAAACTGGCTTTATAAAATAGATTTGCTTTCTTTTCCTGAGAAAAGCAAAAACAGTTCTAAAGTGGAGGACCGCACACAAGAAGCTACGTACATATAAGAAAAATACAGACATATAGATATAGCTAAGGGTTTGTGGTTAAGTTGTTTCAGTCATGCCCAACTTCTGCTGACCCCATTTGGGGTTTTCTCGCCAAAGATACTGGAGTGGTTTGCTACTTCCTTCTTTGGCTCATTTTACAGATGAGGAAAGTGAGGCAAACAGGGTGAAGTGATTTGCCCAGGGTCACCCAGCTAGTAAGTGTGAGGCTGGACTTGATGAAGATGAGTATTCCAGATTCCAGATTCCAAGCCCAGCTGTCTATCCATTTCACCCCATATATCTATATTCATACATATATCTCTGTCTATACCTGTACCTATATCTTTAGGCAGCTAGGTGGTGCAGTGGATAGAGTGTCTGGTCTCAGACACTTACTAGCTATGTGACCCTAAGCAACGTAGTGTGCAAAGTCAACAGGGGCCATTGTCCCAAGCTGGATAATCTCCCGAGTCAGGAACAGCAGTACTTGGCCCCTCACCTTCTAAGCTGGTTGGGCTAGAGAGGGCAAAGGGCAGTGGTGCCAGAATCAGGAGGGCAGTGTGGGCCAGGGCCAGTTCTGCACAGATAATCCCAAAGATGAAGCCAAAAGCGAATGGCAAAGAGCAAAGTAACCTTCCTCCAGCTGGACTTTTTGCATTCCCAGAGGCATTGACTCCAGTGTGGAGAGCTGCTTGGAATAATCACACGACAAATTTTGCAATGGCCAGCCTTGGGCGTATTTATAAAATCCATTTGTAAATGTTCAAATGAAGTGTATGCCAAGGGGCGTCCACTGAACCCAATATTAGAGAAGGAGTGCTGGTTAAATGCTCGGTAAAGCAGAACAAATATGAGCCACCACAGGGGTGATAGCAGGAGAGACCCAAGACAGCCTTCCTGTGTCCACTCTTCCCTGAGGGCCAAAGCGGCCCCTCCTGCTTATGAACACACCTTGCGATAGAAGCTCAGCGGAGGGGTGGCTTATCTTCGCAGTCACCCAGAGCCCAGAGACCTGTTTTACCTTGTACCACTGATTCTGTTTCTTGGCCTTGGTGTCATGATGGACTGAGTCAATGTTGTTGTAGAGAAGAGGAAGTGAGAAGTCTCCACTGTTGGTTGTGGTGAGGTGAAACACAGGGGTGGGGCCATCCAAGGTGGCCGGTTTTGTTGCTGCATGGCAGGTCCCTTGGGATCAGCGCCATTGTGTGGGCAGAGCAGTGGACGATGCTCTTGGGTAGCTGGATAATGGTTAGAAGGTCTTTGATGAAGTCAGCATTCAAAACAGCCTTACTGGTGGAGGTTAAAACCCCTCATCCTGGCAGACTCCAAAAGCACAGCATGAGTCAGCGTAGGCATTGGCACTTCGTGCCCAACAAGCTTGAGCAAGGCCAATGAGCTTGGCATCCTGACTGCTGAGATTGGGTGGAAGAGAAGCAGACCACTGAGTATCACGATCAGAGACCACGGCAGCACCCTGGACCGAATTCCATCCTTTATAAAAAAGGCACCATCAGTGCGAAAAACCAGGTGGGGATTCTGTAGAATTCGGTAAGGTCGTCACTGGGGCCACATGAACCACAACAGAACAGTCATGAAGAGACTGCTCAAAGTCAGTAAATCAGGGAGCAGCGTGATGGGCTTGAGGACAGAACCCACTCAAAAGTCACACTTTGCTCTTCCAATAGTCACTTCTCTAGCAAGTCTGTGATCACAAAAGCCGTAATTGTGGTGTCTCAAAAAAAGAGCCTTAACCTCACCAGGGCACTGAATGACAAGTGGGACCCATAAAATCAAGTTCAGAGGTTGTTTCTACCAAAAGGGCAGTAGCTGCTGTGGCTCTCAAGCAGGGCAGAGCACCTGCAGCCTCAGAGCCCAGCTGGTGCAGAGAGGGTCTGAGGTCTTGGGTGAGCACCATTGGTGACACTCCCTTATGTTCATGTACAAAAAAGAAAGGACTCATCTGGGAGTCAAAGCAAAGCCTTCGTGAGGGTGGCGAGAGCCATGAGATGTCCTGGTTCAGGGGGCAAGGGTTCTGGAAGGGTCTTTGGTAAGAGCAGTTAAAGGCTTGGGGATCTCACTAAAGATGGCGTCCACTGTTGGCCTCGGCCTGCAGAGCCTGAGAAGGCACAAAGCTACTTTTTAGTCTTTGGAGTGGACAGTTGTTGGAAGGCTTGCCTGTGCTTCAGACAAACGCCTTGGGATGAGGGCAGACAGGACAAAGCCAAGATACTTGACCTAAGAAAGACACCGATGTACCTTTGCCTTGGAGACCTCGTGGCCTCCCTGATGAAGCTGGAGAAGAAGGCGGTGCTGCCTTCTTGGCGGACTCTGACATTGGTAGCTGCTCACAGGCCATTGTCCACATTCTGAACAGATGGAGCCTTTAAGGGGATGGATGCTAAGTCCTGCCGTAGAATTTGAGAGGACAAGGGGGTGCCTGTCTACATACCCTTGTGACAGGCAGGCTTTCTGTCATACCAGGTTAGACCAGGGGTTTCCTTTGGTCCCAAGAGCTTCAGAATTTTTCCAAGGCAGTTCCAGCAGGAACACTGTCTGTGTTTCCCATGATTATACAATTTACCTCTTGTTTTATTTGGAAGCAACCCTTACTTTCCAATAATTAGAGTGATCTTCGCGCCACAGAGATCTTCCTGCTCGTTGCCAATCAAAATCTGAGCTGATCTACACACCTCTGAGAGTCAAACCAAACTCACAACTTTGTCTTCAAGTTCCTCTTTTGGAGCCTCAGAGATTCTGCTCCATGTAGAAAAGACTGTTCTCGCATGAGGAAGCCCTCTGCTTTCTAGAGGATTAAATCTCCTCCCTCCCTCTGAGGGTACCAAAGCTGCTCCTAGCTGTATGAGGGCTTGCCCTATCTG